TCCAGCAGGAAGTTCACCAACTTCGTCTCTCCAGCGCGAGCGGGGAGGACGCGTGGGGCAGGCGAGCCGCGCTCCGCCAGTTCCTCTCTCCCTGCCCAACCACGCTTGCAAACCGCTGCCCCCGGGCAGAAGCGAAAGGACTCGCTGGGTTCAGAGGGCATTTTCGCAGCCTCTTTTCTTCCTGCTGGCTTGCAGGGCGCTCAGCTCCTGTGCACGGCGCAGCGCAGCGAGCACGGAGAGGGTCTCCCTTCCCCAACTCCGCTCACACTCGGAAACTTACCAAAATAGCTATTCCTGGATAATTATTCCATTCTGGAAGTGGATTAAGCTAAAGCGGAAAAAGGCACTCTTATTCTGGAATATGAGCATCCGCACAGGGGCCTCTATTGAAACAGTTGTTTGGAAGAGCTATTTTGGTGAATCACCAAGTATAAAAAGCCCCCAGATGACCTCTCTTCTTAAGGGACAGCTGCCCAACATCTTCCCAAGCACACCCGGTGCAGCTCTGCTCCAGCTACACTGCAGCTACTTGTTTCTCTCATTCCCCAGAGCAGTAACTTGAGCGAAGATTTGGCACTGCTTGTTTAGGGAAGTTTTTACAGATTTGCTGAAATTTCTGCATTGTGACAGTCCACAGAAAGCAGGATGAAAAGCCAGTTCCCAAGAAAAATGTCAGCTCACACAAAATAACTGGCCCAAAGCGTTTCTCTGTTTTACTCCATCCCAGCGCCTGAGCATCCCGCCCTCAGCAGAGCTGCAGCCAAGCCGGGCAGCCTTTCACCCTCCGGTTACGCAGAGGGAACAGGTCCAGCGCAGCCAAAGGCAGTTTTCTCTAGATGCTCTTTAGGCATACAGCTCTCACTGGAGCTGGTGCCTGCATATCTCAAACAGCCTGGGCCACCGTGACTTGCCAAAGGCCGCGCGGGGCAAAGGAGCGAAAGGGGGCTGCAGAAGGGACCCCAGCCTCTCACCATTGCCTCGGAGCTAGCAACCAAACGGCCAGAGCAAGCCTGCCGACGGAAAGGCAGCCCCTACCTGGCAGACACGTGCAGTCGTAGGTGGTGTCTCCGGTCTGGCGGCAGGTTCCCCCGTTCTGGCAGGGCGAGGGATTGCAGGGCACGTAGAGGTGCTCGCAGTTCTGCCCGGTGTACGCGGGCTTGCAGGAGCACTGGTAGGTGCCGACCTCGTTGGTGCAGCTCCCGCCGTTCTTGCAGACGGGAGGCAAGATGTTGCACTCGTTCACGTCCTGCTTGCAGTTGGCCCCGTGAAACCCGGTTGTGCAGCGGCAGACGTAGTGGGCCTCGAACGGGACGCACTGCCCTCCGTTGGCGCAGGGGTTGGAGGCACAGGGATCGGCCTGCTGGCAGGTTTTACCTGGGGAACAAGGCGGGTGAGGGATGAAGGATGAGGACGCAAACTGCAGCTCGTGCACTCAGGCGGGGAAATCCTTGTGCTGGGGAATCCGGAAACCCAGAGCGCAAACCCAGCTCTGCGGGCGACTGTGCTGGAACCAAGCATGCTACAGGGGGTGCAATTAATTCCTCCCTCCTGCCCACCCCAAAACCTTCATCTGTGCAGGACGCTTGCAGCTAACAGAGCTGGGGCCTTCCCGGTCCGTGCACCTGCCAAGCTGGCTGCTCAGGTTTGTAAACCCTCCCCAAGAGGAGCGCAGGGGAATCCCAGTCCCAGCGCCCCGGCCTCACCTGACCACCCGGGCGGGCAGCGGCACTTGTACTCGCTGAGCGTCAGCAGGTCGCAGGTGCCCCCGTTGCGGCAGGGGTTGTTGAGGCAGGCGTTCTCGCGGGGCGTCAGGCAGAGCTCGTCGGTGAAGCCCACGCGGCAGGCGCAGGGGTAGGCCACCGGGGCGCCCCCCCACCCCGGG